GGGGCGGGGCTGGCTGGCATGTGGTGCTGGGGAATCGAACCGTGGTCCCTGTGCTTTGCCAAGCTTGTTCCATGTAGGTGCTTTAGACCACTGAGCCATCTCGCCAGCCCCGATTCCCAGTGATTTCTACAGATACATGTTGAGTGGTTATATTCATATTCATTGTGTATAAAGTTTAATGCTAGAGGTTATGACAGTTTGCAGTTTTTAAGAAAAGCATTTAAAGTCTTTTATGTATGTAATTTTCAGTTACTCAGTGAGGAGAATGTTTGACAGAAATTGTAGTCACAGAGCAATTAATTGCCAGTCCCTTTTTCTCTGTATCCATCTGAAGACTTAACTTATGATGGTCAGTTACTTTTGATACAGGTTGCTCAGGTTAGCATATATTGTTATGTAAGATTGGATATATGGTTGGATATTACCACTTGCTTTCAAGAAACTTTAAGTTTTTGTTCTTGTCTCTTTTGTTTTTTTAAGTTTGTTTTAAAGAGAGTATAGAAAAGGGCCAGGCAGATAGCTTAGCAGATAAAAGCGCCTGCTTAGGCAAAGCACATCAGCCGGGGTTCAGTCCCCCCTGGTTCACAATGCTGGCCTCAGCCCCGGGGTGTGCTGAAGTGGGGATAGAGGGTGTTCAGCTGAGATGGAGTTGATACTGGGCATGGCGGCGTGCACCTGTAACACCAGTGTGTGGGAGGCTGAAAACAGGAGGATCACTGTGAGTCTGATCTGTGTAGTGAGACCCTATGACCCTGTGCTAAATCCATTTTAAAAAACAAAAAAATAGAGCTTAATAATAATTAATACGGCATTAGAAACAGTACACGTTTAAGAGACCAAGATGTCAGGTATTCGAGTCTGGTTTTTATATTACACATTGCTGTCTTTGATGTTGCTTAGATTGCAGTTGGTCCGGGTGAAAATTTTACACATTAACTGCTATTTTCAAAAGACTGATGGAGATTTTCAGTACTATTATCTCAGCCATCCTGTATATATACTTGCATGTTTTATTCTGTATTTCTTAAAATTTATGGTTTAATACCTTGAACATATTTTAAGATGTCCTTTAAAGATAGTCACAATATTTCTGAGATTAAAATATATATTTTTTTCTTTCTACATAATTTTAACTCATTTTATTAGATAAGTTAGAAGACCTGAGATATACTTAGGATTGGTACAGAACTAAGAGAGTTTAGAATTAATATTTCTTGTGATTTTTCAACTCTGTAAGTATATATTTATTTATTAAATTTATGTTATGGTATAGGGAATTGAACTCAGGATCTTGTGCTTGCCAGGCAGGCGTGCTGCTAAGCTATGTCTCTAGCCCCTACCAGTATATTTTTATTTTTTTTTTAATTTTATTTATTTCTGTGTGTGTGTGTGTGTGTGTGTGTGTGGCCAGCTCAGCCCACCAGG